AAGAAAAACTAACTTACCGATGTATATCCCGTGTTGTCACTTATAATAGCATTTCCATATGATGGAAATAGCTTAAAAGTACCATTTATGAAATGTGAAGGTCGCTTTTAAATTTATAATAGGTGATTTACGGTAAAAATAGTTAACAAGTTGGTGAAATGTGGAGTTGGTATTAGTTTTCAGTAGGTTGGTAAATAATGCGTTATATCATATTTTGAATAAGCTCATGTTTAATTTACTTTTCGAAGCTTTTATTACTACCAGGAAAATCGCACTTACATATCGTACACTTGGTACGTCATTTTATGATCACACGTCGATAGTATTTTATGCAATCATTGAATAGTGAGTGTTCTTAAAGTCGAGTAACTTATTTAGGCCTAAGTAATACGTACGAGAAGAATGTAATGATTGCGTACAATACTTTTTCTTTCTTTTTTTTTTCGAGTAAATAAAATAATGAAACGGAACCAATATTTAATGTACCTATATTTTGTTAACAATCCATAACAACAAATGCTATTTTTTTAAAATAAATTTTAACCCATTTATTACAAGTGGCCAAGTACCGCCTAAATTTTAATCAATCATTTTTTTAATAAAGGTACGCCTGGTTGCAATATTTTTAGGCCAATTTAACCAATAAGGAGGTAGTATAGTGTTTGAGTAGCGTTCTAATTGATATTTTAATTAGTAAATATACTACGTTCTTTTTTTTAAAAGTTATTATAGTTCTGTGTACAATACTTTAATACTCATTATAGTTCTGTGCACAGAACCATAATGACATTTTTCAGCTTAGTGGCGAGTAACATAGACAATATATAATTATGATTCAGAACTAAAAAGAGCTCTTTATGATGTGGTTTATGCAATTAAAATTGACATATTAATACTTTAATACAACAAAATAAATAAAAAAAAAATAAACAATAATATTATACAGGAGCAAAAAAAGTCCTTCCAATCCAAAGCAAAATCCAAAGCAAAAGAAAGTTATAAAAGTAATACAAATTGCATGAAATACAGTATATACAGGGTTACTTTTAAATTACTAACAACCCCGCAGGACTATATTAATAACATCATAAATAACAACATTTTTTCCATCACTTTCTACGAAACGTAATTAATTTTTCAACACATTTGCTCGTAACGGGCTTCTTATTGTATCGCTTTTAGGCTCATAAACCTAGCTATTGAACACGCGTTTGTAATTATATTACAAAACGTGTGTGTAATAAGTATAGGCTTAACCGGATTAAGATGTATCTCACAACAAGGCCTATGTATTAAAACTATGCATTCTTAAATTATCCGGGTTATGTCTTTGAAATTAACTTGGTCTATTAAAAAAACAGCTCTAACCTACATATTATAAGATTCAAATTACAATGACAGTAATCCCAAACAAACAGGGTCACAGTTTTTTTTTTATTTCTGTTTAATACGGTTGTGTAGTCTTACCTTACAAATAATATTTTTATTAATAAATTTATATTTCTTATTTGATGTGATAAATATAGAAAAACATACACAATATACACCTATAAAACTTTAATTGAATAAAATTACTTATTTTGGATAATATTTTACACGAATTTGAGTGAAATAAGGACATATTTATATTATTTCGCATTGGCTGTTTAGGAATTTCACCTAAGTCTCATTATTGCCGAAGCACCTGCGCGCGCATATCCGCACCGCGGCGCCAGGCGCAGAAAAAATAACTCTGCGCGCCAATTTCCATTGATACGTTCGAAACATTTATATACGCTGTGTGTTAGATAATTACCTAGGTGTTTAAAATGTCCTGCTCAAGCACGGAAGAAAACATTTTGATGGATTTAACACCGCCCGAAATCCTCACAGAGGCACAAAACGCAAGTGACAGTTTATTACCTTCGAAATCCAGAGAAAAATACATGGCTGCATATGAAACTTTTAATTAATGCCAAATAAAGCTATTTTTCATTTCCATTTTACTCAAGTTTGTTTCATTTTCCTCGCAAATGTGTTGAAAAACGTCGTATGAAACACGTGTGCTTTGATCATTACACTCTCGGCTTTCTTATCGCGCTCGCCTGCGGCTCGCGCGAGTAATAACGCCTCGTGTGTAATGACCAACTTAACACACTTGTATCATAATGTACTATACCGAAAATAATAAATAAAATAAAAAAAATTTAAGTTTTTGTTGTACTATCCGACACTTTAAGATCTGTATTTGGTAACACGAAAAGTTGTCATTTTGCAGATGAGGCCTTATTACACCAAGGGGGCGATATATAGTATTCGGTATTTGCTCACTACAGCTCCTTAGTATAGCTAGCTATTGTATTAATGATACAACGAAAATGCAAAGAATATCAAACTTGTTAGAATGACAAATAACATGAAAGATAGCAAAGGAACATTACTTATATATCTATCAAATATGTATTTCCGTATTGACGTAAGGCAAATGTGCATACTTTCGGAACCTTTATTTCAACGAGTCCGGCTGAAAGAGTGTTGATAAAAGGACGGAAATGGGCCCTTTACCAGCCGTGAGGCACTGGCCAGAATTGAGTCAGGAAATAGGAAATTACAGCCCGTACACGCCTCTACAAAAGCGATGACCTTAAGGCTCTTGTCATCTTCGATGGTATTTATCAAACATGAAATTAAAGATAAAAAAGATATAGAGGGGTTTGTTCTAGTTAATTTGTATTGGTCTGCAAGCGGTTACTTTGCAGATTGCTCAAGTGCTATAGCCACCTTATCTTAAAGTAAAAGTAAGTATGGTTTTCAATTATTTTTTTAACATGTTATATCTTTCAGATATAAGGTGTTTGAATTAGCTAGTTATACCTTTCAAGTTTTGTTGCTAGAACTGCAAAAAATACAATTTAAGACGAGAAAAATACAATCATTAAAGTTTTAACTATAATCGTATATATTTTAAATGTATTCATTTTCGCACGTTACTCACCAAAGTTGGCGCCAGCAATACTCATGCAAATGAGGCGGTAACATGAAAACTATTTAACATTTCGTTTAAATTAAAAAAATAAATCGATTTTGTGCAAAATTTATGTCACCTGACGAAAGGGCAAAAACGTTGATGCACAAATATTCTCGTTTTATTCACGTCGGGTTGAATGGATGGGATAATGATGGTTGGTGACCACTTTTTGGGTGCGAACCTGTTTCGGTGTTGCGAGCCAAAGGCGCAATCTGAGGTGGAATCTCGCCATCGATACAAAACCCGGACGTTTCGCGTTGTAAATTCATGTGTACATGTTAGGTATTCGGCCAGTCACAGACTCTGAGTCACGGCGAGCAGGTTTTATGAAGATCCTTTTGCTTTGTGTTTTTTTGACCCACATAAGAATCCCTTGACGCGGAATTTAATTAAAGGCCTCTAAATGCGTTTGAGTTTTCCTTGTTGCGGTAGACGGCAATAAATAAACCTGTACCCTTAGAATAATTACGCATAGAATGATAGTTTCATATCAAACGAACTGTCACAAGTGAGGCAAAAATCAAAATCATGTAGACTAGTTTTAGTAGTAGGTTAATTTTCGGTTTTAGTGAATATTTATATAAAAATACAAGTTGAAACGCGTTACTTCCTTGTAGAATGTGATGTTAGTATCTATTTTATGTTTGTCTGACGTATTTTTAGACTCATTTACCACACATTTCGTCATTTTTAGCTAAAATTCTGGAGCTGTTCGCGGTGCAAGTTGACCTTGAGCACTGAAGGCCCGCCCGCTCGTGTAGGCCCTTTGGGAGCGCTTCAATTTGCCTCACTTAGCGTGTGCGGACTAGGTTTCTATGCGTTATTATTCTAAGCCTATACATATATACGATTACGTAGCTGATAATAGTAACAATACTAAAAACTAATTGAATTCAACACTGAATGTTGTATATTATTAATAAAACGTTACTAAAGAAATTTAAAACTAGGTTTGTTGTGTTGTACCTAACATACAAATAATAATATGAGTTAGGTTTAAACATGCAAACCTCGGAAGTCCACTATTGTACGAAAATCAACGTATGACCTAATTTCATACAGTGTTCGTGAATAATAAAACCTTATTACTTAAATCACAACTATGTAATTCTCGGTAACTCCTCGCCGTCATTACTAAGCGAGGTGAGCTAAAAAGAGATATTTTTTTATGTTGCGTTTATAATTGTGAAAACAATAATAATTGGTATTTTATATTACCTACTTACTTCGCTGGCTTAGCGAGCCGAAGTGAGACTTGGCCTCCGATAAGTTTAGGTGCCGGCGCACCTTGCGTGTACGATCTCCTTCTAGTTTTAGCGTGCAGGGAGCGGAGATCTTTTTCCACTTCATCCGGTTTCGAAGGGTAACGGTAAGTGTGCTGGTGAAATTCTGGCACATGGGACTTGTCAACTTATGTCTCAGGTGACGGGCGCAGAGGTAGTGCCCCTCAGATCTTTGCTATTTACTTGTCGCTTACCACCAGGCGCATGACTTGTTCGTCCCGTCACTTAATATCATTAAAAAAAAACTCAACGAATGTTATGTCTGCAATGTTTATGTAAATTGCAAATTATGCCATCGGAATGGTTACCTATCAGTAGTCCGAAATGGCATTTTCCAGAAATAACGTTTGCTCGAAATTTCGTAACCTCGAAAGTCATTTTGAGAAGACAATGTTTTTTCTTTTAAACCTTTTTTTGTAACTCTGGGAAACGCGTTACGCGTACCGCTCGACTCGGGGGAGCTGCGAGCGGTTATGTGTGACTCCCGGGCTCTAGCCTGGTATACACACTAAAACCCAGCGGTTAACCCCCACCGCCATAGCGAGGCGCCCCTGGATCCGCTTACGCATACTACAGGAACGCCTCGGCGGATGGTCCGCGTGAGCGGACCCCGGCCTTCAGAGAGTGCCCCGGGTCAACACAAAGGCACCCTCACACTTGTGAGCACAGACTTGGAGATAGGGTCCCCCGATCCCTGTCCCCACGGCTCACTACAGCGGGGGAAGAAGGTGGGTGTGCCTCCTTCGTCTCCCCAGTTGCCGTCTTCGGAGCGGGTCGTCCTCTTTGAGCCGTTCCGATGCCTCCTTGTGCGAAAGTACGCTTTCACAGAAGGAGGCCATTGCATCCCAACACCTCTGACTGTCGAGCATCGCGCCCACGATGGTCGATAGCGAGAGATCTCCGCCCACTACCGCGGACAGGGAGTGCCGCTGGGGGCCCCATGTCGCACATTCTGCTACGGTATGACGTACTGTATCGACGGGAGCGCCACACTCGTGACAGACAGGGATCGTCTCCCGACCTGCAACCCGGTGCAGGTATTCGCCGAAACATCCATGTCCGGTGAGAACCTGCACCAATCTGTAGGACTGAGACCCATATCGCCGGTCGTCCATAGCGAACTGCCTCCACCGTCACTGAGAAGAGTGGCCGCCGTCCACGACACCGTGCGATAACTCCGGATCGCTCTCACCGCTATGACCCTCTGCGGCCTCCGCAAGAAGGGTTTAAGTCGAACGGTGAGAGCTTCCACCCAAACCGGTGCGCCGTACAGGGCCATACTCCGGATTATTCCTGAGTACAGGTGCCTGCAAACCGAGCCTGGTCCGCCTACATTTGGCAAGAGCCACTCTAGGGCGGCAGCGGCACCCACCATCTTCGGAGCGAGTTGGGCAAAATGCGTCCTGAAGTTCCACCTCCCGTCCAGTACAAGGCCCAGATACTTCATCTGAGCCTTGACTATGATCATCTCCCCAAAAAGGGTGATCCTTGCCTCCCTAGGGCGGCCTCTGCGCGGGCCATGGAATAGGAGGGCCTCCGTTTTGTGTATAGAGACCCTCAGGCCCAACAGATGGATCAGAGACCGGACCAGAGATGTCACTATGGTGCTCAACCGCGCGGCCTCTTCATAAGTCCTGCCAGTTAAAGCCAACATTCCACAACATGGGGCCCAGCACGGACCCATGTGGAACGCCACACCCGACGCGCCGCAGGTGTAGCCTCCCTTCTCTTCCCTCCCATAGAACCACCCTGTCCTGGAGGTACGCCTCCAAAAGCCTTCTGAGATCCCTATCTCAGGTACTCCATGTTACCGGACCGCCTCTCTCAGTGTCTCGAACAGAAGGCTGTTGAAGGCGTTCTTGACGTCAAGGGAAACAGCCATGACCACCTCCCCCTATCAACGGCGTCTGTTGTGAGATTCTTCAGGGCATCCAGAGCGTCGACAGTAGACAGCCCGCCCTGAAGCCGTATTGGGCTTCCGAGAGACCAGGCCCACCTCTTCGAGGTGCCTAACGAGACGGTTAACGAGGACCCTCTCGAAGAGTTTGGCCGTCTCGTTCAACAGCACAATGGGCCTGTAGGCAGAAGGCGAGTCGATTGGACGACCCTCCTTCTGCAACAGACATAGTCGGCCCTGCTTCCATTGTTCCGGGAACTGCCCGCTACGTAGGCACGTGTCGAACAGTCCCCGGAGCAACTCATTTAGGCATTCCGCTGCCAAGTACAGCACGTGACTCGGGACGCCGTCGGGTCCCGGTGCGGTCTTTTTTCCCCGTACTCGGAAAAGGGCTGCTCCTATTTCTCCCTCAGTAACAGAGGGGACCTGCGAGAGACCCTGCTCCGGTGTGGAGGATGGGGCCATCACCGGGGGAGAGTGCTCAGGAGGGCCTGGGAAAAGCTCCTACCACCTTTCACAGGAGATCCGGGGCCATAGTCTCCGTGATGGAAGCGCTTTGGGCACGGAGTTTCTTCCGCACCGCACGATACGGACGACCCCATGGATCCCTATCTAAACCGGCCAGGATTGCTTCTCTGGCACGGGTTTTGCCTGGCTTATTGCCAGCTGCAGGGACTTCTTCTTAAGGCGGTATGTCTCCCACAGCTGGCTCTCTATGTCCGGGGCATGGCCGTGACGTCGCCGGTACCGGACGTAGGCTCGGAGTTTCGCGATCTCCTCCGACCACCAGTAGACCTGATGGCGTCGCCGGACCCGGGGCATGGCCGCGTCGCACACTGCAGTCAGAGCAGTATCCAGGCGGCTCGCCAAATCGTCGGCGGTGATGCCCTCTGGCACTCCAACCGTAAAGAACCAGCGCTGTACTATGGCAGCTTCCTCGACCATCTCCCGGTCCAGCCGACTTAGCGCCCAGTGTGGGAAGCGATTCGGTCTGCGAATTGGGGCGGAATGTCCAAGGACCGCGGAGACCTTGAAACGAATATATAGGTGATCTGACAAGGTCTCCACCTCCTTCACCACTCTCCAATTTCTGATCCCGCGCGCGACAGCGGGAGTAGCGAACGAGACGTCCACTACGGACCCTCCCTGTTGTCGCACGCAAGTCTGAGCAGTCCCTCTATTCAAGAGGGACAAACCAGAGAGTATACTCCAGATCTGTACAGCACCACCTCGCGCGTCAGAGACGAAATTACCCCACGCTTGCGACTTGGCATTAAGATCGCCGAGTACAATAACTTGTTTCGGCGCTTGTCGCAACACCGCTGTCCTGACGGAATCAAGAAATGTCTCAAACTCCGTCAGGGAGCGGTTGGGGGAGAAGTACGTTCCAATTATTATATACTCCTCCCACCCAGTCACTACATACCCCGAGCCCCTTTCCAAAGAGGTGAGAGGGGGCCCATGCCGTTACTCACGAACGCCACTAGGCCGTCCAGGTCCAGGCCCAGTTTTCATGAGCAGGGATGTAGTCCGGCTCGCAGGCCACCGCTAAGTATATTTGTCACTGCGCCATGGACTGCAGGAGCAGATCTTGACGGAGCTCAAGATTAAGATTCGACTGTAGAAAGCTAGTGACATATTACTAGCCTCCTCCCGTATCTGTTGGCGGGTGACAGTAATGGCGGCTTTTCATGGGAGGTGGTTTGCAGCTCCTCCCCACATGCGATGGTCCGATGGACGTCCGGCGTCGGCACAGACCGCGCAGCGCAGCACGCCTTTGCAGTTGGAGGCCCTCATTGCCTCATCGAAAGCACAGGTCTTCACGACTGCTGCCCAAAGTACACATAGGCCTCGTATGGCCAAGGCCAAGGCACCGATAGCAGCGGAGCGGGCGCTGCTCTAGGGCTTGTACCTTGGCAGAGCTCCAGCCGACCAGTATTCTGCCCGCTTCAGGCAGCGTCTTGGCTGTGCTTATCACAGAGCCCATCCCAGTCCATCTGTTGTGCACTGCCCAGTCCTTGCCACCGCAGCGGCCACCTTTGTTTTAGTGGCTGAGTCGTCAAGACCCGAGATGCGGATATCCGCAGTCTTTGTGGGCCGCTAGACGTTGGCCACTCCGTCAAGTACAGGGTGGAGCTGTTCCGCCAGCCGGTCGGCTGCCAGCGCACCCTGAGGTCCCGACAGCTCTAGCAATCTGGCCCCGGTGGCAAAGGTTCCCTTCAGTGAACCATTATTGCGTCTGTCATTAGCGATGACAGACGCTTCCTTAGCGCCCATCACCACTACCTGTTCGTCACCGGTATCGTTAGCAAGTCCCGAGGCCATTTGTCGTATGCGTTCGTCGTGTTTACGAGAATCGACTTCCAGTCGACACACGAAGTTGTTTTTGCCCAAGAGTACGAGGGCTGCCACCCGTTGAAGTGGATGGGCGGCATTCCCCCTTTCGGGGACCCACCTGGGAATCATTTTCAAAACGAGCCTTTTCCATTATTGCTTTGGATGGGGGTGAGCTCCCCACTGGGGGCGCCCTATCGACTGGATACCCTCCTGCCATTCATTCCATCACCGGGCGCCAGAACTTAGGACTGAGGTAATTTTTATAGAGGTGTTCTTCCTCGCGGCCCTCCTCCTCCCCCGGTCGCACTCAATGTGGGATTACGGGCTGGCCGGAGCCGGTCTTGTGACCGAACACCGCCCACCGTTTCGGTTACGAGTTTGATAGCTCAGGACACAACCTACGCTATCTTCCTCCCCTCCCAGTGCTGGTTTTGGTCCGCGTCGGCTGAAGCCGGTAGATCCCATATCTGGGAGCTGTTCCCCTATCCGCCACCTGGGGATGCGTCCGACGGCAGACCAGCAACTGCGCACGGATTTTCTTTTAAACCTAACCGAACCTAATCGTGTCTTTGCGATAAACATTCAACATACCCTGAAAGAACAATTGTTTCGTTATAATTCGGTTTTCGGTGTAATGAAAATTCGAACAAACGTTATTTCAGACAAAAAAAGGACAAAAAAGTACTGCTGCCACTTAAGGGATAAGGATAGGATAAGGGACTATGGTATACACCAACTGGCCACCTTGGATTCAATCGCTAAGCTTGCCAAGAGGCTTAAAAGAGGTGTCTAGGATGTAGTGGAGGCGAAGCTGCATAACCTTGAACACCGTCGTAAAGTTGTCTGCCTATCTATTCTTCTAGCTTATTCTACAGGTTATATCACGGAGAGTGTGCGATGGAATTGCATGATTTGATTCCGCCTTCCCATTGCCATCATCGGGGGACTAGACGTGGGCTGGCTGGGGTTGTTGATATTCCCAGGATTCACACGAAGCGTTTCGCTTCCACATTTATATAGCGCGCGGCTAGGGAGTTGAATTCATTGATTGTGGACTTATTCCCCGAACGCCATGACTTGGACCTTTTAAAGGCGAGAGTGAATAGGCATTATTTAAGTGTGTATGCTACATCGTCGACTTCATCGTCATTTTCCATCAGTTGAGATGGAGGTCAAATGCGCACTTATTTTTTGTATAAAAAAAAGAAATATAATTTGTTGTTATATCAAATGAACCGCACCCGTTATTTTCTCCCGAAAAGTTCATCAAAATTAACATACCGATATTTATGGATTTTGCCGACGGCGACGACATTTGCATTAGCGAGTCTAGTGGAATTGTGGGTTTCGCTACTTTTCCTGCGGCTGAGAAGGATATGTCGGATTAGCGGTCGTCTGTTGTGGGACAGACATGAAATAGACAGTTTAGATGTAGTTCAAGTGTCAGTTTAAACCATTTATTGACGTGTTCTTCCGCGGTTCGAAATTGAATATGTAGATTACTATTGGGTGGTCGGATACTACTTATTAAAATGAAGGTTAATTTTTCATCCAATGCATTTTTATTTGGTTAAACATTATACCAAAACCTACTATCACACCAAGTCCACTAATGGCGCTTATGATCATACCTACACAGTTGCTAATCTGTATGACAAATTGTTCTTACAAATGAGTTTTTAAAAGATTTGAAAACAAAAACGGAGCCTACTGTGAGTTTAGAATTCACAGCCATATTGCACGAGGCTTGATACAACAATAAGGGAAAAGCTATAGAAACCAATCGTTACTTTCCCGAAAAGTGAGACGTCAAACTCGTAGGCGGTAGAGAGTTCGCCCATAATGCAATAAATAATAAAATTATGAGCGGCGCCGTCGAGAGACCATTAACATACATTCTTTAAACTTGATGAGGAATAACAATCTTATTATAGTGAGCACACGTCAATTCTGCAGATCACTATGTAGGTGAGTTTATGACCTATCCTATAACACATTATTGCATTGTTGCTCTATGATTCTCCTCATTTATAACTGCATTTTGGGAGGTTATTTGTAAACGCAACGCAATTTTGAGCACCGAGATCGAATTTTTAATAAAGTATTGCATTCATAAATCTAAGCGTCTGTTTAACGGGTATTGCAAGATATTTATATTACTCAACTGCCTCCGTGGCCGAACGGTTACCATGCCGGACTGCCACGCAGAGTTCGCGGGTTCGATTCCCGGGCCGGGAGAAATATTTGTATGGCCTACATATATTTCTCTCGCGAGTTTGGGTGTAATTTGTGGTTGTCTATCTGTGTGTCCATGGCATTCGCTATACAGGGTTTCCTTAGTGCGGGGCTATGTTGAGTGTGTGCGTTATTATTGTTATTATTAGGTACGGGACAAATGAGGAGTGGTCAACGATGAAACGTGATGAAATCAGATGAAACATACGTATTATGTTATATGAAATGTACTCTTTGATATAATTATAATGGAGATAAAATTTGATCGACTGAATTATATTAAATAATTTTAGCTGAAAATTCAAAATTCACTGTGGAATCCGTTTTTGTTCTCGAATCTTTTAAAAACTCATTTGTAATAACTATTTGTCACACAGATTAGCAACTGTGTTGGTATGATCATAAGCTAAAAAAAAATGTATCTACTAATACTAATTTTTAAGCACTTTTCTTATTATTATTACTAACAAATTATGGAACTCGTTGTCCGAAATAAAAGAATTTTAATTTTTAATTTTAATAAGCGCGATTAGTGGATTTGGTGTGATAGTAGCTTTTGATATAATATTTAACTAACATTATATGAAACAAATTGTATTAAACTATGTTATTTCTAGGCTGTTCGCGACTAGATGGCTACGCGTTAAACATAAGTGATAGGTACTAACATGTATATGTTACTTACTAATGATGTAGTCACACCAGTTCCAACTTCATTGTAACTGCAGAATAATACTTATTGGAATATTGTAGGGCATTACGACATTCTAAACTTTGCTCTCCGACTATTGTGGTATTACATAATATACAATGTATAACAGCGATGCAGTCGGAATACAGCTCGTATGACTCCACATTAAATAGTTTTTATTGTGAATGGTTTGAAACTTGCCGAAGTACAACCAGGGGTTGTGATGAAAAAGTCTGTATAATACTATATTATCTATGACCATACGATGGACTGGCTGTGAAGTCAGTTATACTTTTTTATAACTGCCTTCACAGCTAGTACAGTAGTAGTAGGTGGTAAAAACTAGGTACCTACGGAGTAGAGATTTGTAATTAGCACTTTTACCTGTTACTTAACATACTTTTATTTATTGTTCAAAATTTCTTGTAAATCTTCCAAAAATAAATAAGTAATGAAAGATGTTTAATCATTACGTACTTTTTACGCAGTCATTTTAGTAGCATTATTACCTTACATTGGACATTTCGTACTGTGGGTTTCAGTTTTTTTCCATCCTCTACGGTTTGATTAACTCGTGAGGGACATTAAGTCTGTGGTGGAATTTGTATAAAAAATTTCAAAAGTCTGGGATTTTGAAATAAACGGCATTTACATATTTTACCACATATGTCACTGTCCTTGTCTTTCATATACCCAATGTGCGGTTACCTCGTCGCGACCAACCTATCATTTATATTTATATATACATTACACACTCGTTAATGGCACATAAAGTGACGCCTTGATTAGACAACATTCTGGTAGACAAATTATTATGGTGAATTTAATTTCTATAAATAATATTATTCAGTACCAAGGATTGAAATAATTCGTAAGTCAAAATACTGGTCCATAAAATTGTATCTAAGAACAATTTCTATAGCTTCTTGGTGATTTGGAGCATTGTCATCACGAAGACATTCTATATTAATTCTTTATTCTATTGTTAATGTTCTACGATATAAAATTATAATAATTTGTAATGCGTAGGCTCGATTTTATGCACGATCCTAATGAACGAAACAATGGTTTCATCTTGAACATCTCTGATCGGAACCCCTGTGGGCGGTTGATGATGGTCTCATGCGTCAGAGTGCGTCAACTTAAGACCGTATTCAATATAAGCAATCAAATAAATATGGTCTTAAGCTGACGCAGCATGACTTTTTATTTTATTTTAAGTTAAAGAAATCTCAAGGAATAGATTTATTTTATCGCACATTATTTACTATATACACAAATAAAACGTTCTCTGTAAACAAATATTATATTACCAGACTCCGCTTTCGATAAACCAAAAATAAATTGAGCTGTTTCCTGGCAAAACCAATATAGATTTGGTTTATTAAAACTTTCCACAATCCAGTGTTTAAGCAATTATTTATTTATTAGGGTTAGTTTGTAGTTTAAGTATCCGGTTGCCTACATAAATAAAATTGGTAATGTTGGCAGAAAACATGCAACCAAATGTTGTAGACTTCGCAATGTACTCATCAGATTTATATTGGCCATGGTTGGTAGCGTGGGTGTGTTATGGATAGGAAATGAACTCTCGGCCCACTCACGCGCGGAGGATATTTAAGGTTGAGGTCGAAAGCGAAGTGGAGATTATTACTATAATTGCGCAGAGCCGTTGCGTAATCATAACGTGGAATAAATACACACGAAACACAATATATTAAATA